CTGAACCAATTTCAATGAAATTTTGCAGAAACCTTCCATGGCCAAAGGTCAACTAAAATGTGAATAACATGGTCCCCAGGCCTGAGGGGCGGGGCCAAAAAGGGTAAAATTGACTAAAATTTCAAAAATCTTCTTCTCAAGATCCAGATATTGTAGAATCAAATACTCTTCATAAATTGAAGGATCTTTAGGTGCTTTACCAAAATAGTGAATTTCATGACCCTGGGGTCTCGCGTTTTCCCCCCTGGGAGGGTGTAATCTTGACTATCGTTTATATTGGGAAATTACATTTTGGACAGCATTCGTTTAATTTCCATTGGAATTAATTCAAACTTGGTTAGCATTATCAGTATTGGATAGCTATTTGATGATATACAAAAATCACCCCTGACTGACCCCCGGGGGATGTTGGGCCGGCCAAAAANGGGTCTTAAGGTGCTTTACCAAAATTGTGAATTTCATGACCCTGGGGTCTTGTGTTTCCCCCTGGGGAGGGGGTAAACTTTACTGTAGTTTATATAGGGAAATCACATTTTGGACCAACATTTAATTCATTGCCATTGGAAGTAATTCAATTTGGGTTAGCATTATCAGTATTGGATAGCAGTTTGATGGTATGCACATATCAGCCCTGACTGACCCCCAGGGACTGATGGGTGGGGCAAAAAAAGGGTTGAATTGACTGAAATTTCAAAATCTTCTTCTCAGGACCAGATATGGTAGAATCAAATTCTCTTCATAGATGGAAGGGTTTTTAGGTGCTCTACCAAAATTGTGAATTTTATGACCCTAGGGTCTCACGTTTACCCCTGGGGAAGGAGGGGGGAATTTGTTATGGTTTATAATGGCAAATTATACTTTGAATATTACATGTTTATAACTTGATTGGAATTATAACCCTAAGTTGACAGTTTGATACTTTGAAAATTTTGAGCCATCCCCACCCTCAAGGGCTGTAGGGTGGGGCCCAATGGAGTCTGTGTGATAAAATAAAATTTCTTCATTTTCCTTGTTTAGAATAAGAGGTACTTGTTTCAAATACTTTTCAGTATTAAATCTGCATGCTAGATATTGAATAAGGTGGTTTTATTGTTTTTTGTCACTTTCAATTATATTTCTGTTCATGTTAAAAACAAAAATCAACTCTCTGTATAAATATATCAGGTGACCGTTAAGGCCCATGAGCCTCTTGTTTCGTTATTATTTACTTTTTATTTGATTGGGTTTTTAACCTCTTATTAAAAAAAAGTATGGAACTGTGTTATCACAGAAAAACGTCAACTAGTCTACGTATAGATTGAACGGGTAAGGGAGGTAACCGTGTAAAAATTTACAATTTTTATGCAATTGCATACATATTTGAGAATCAAAAAATGAAAATTAAATTTTTTATTTTTTATTTTCAAACTTAATGTATATATATATATATATATATATAACCAAATAAAAATAAAATGTTTTGGTACAGTTCCTCGACCACAAAGATGGGAAGGGTGTGCCACCTGTGGTTGCAGCCATACAGCACAGACAGTTAGACTTTGCACGACGTCTTTTGGACCTGGGCGTCGACATCAACGCCACTGACCGCAGGCTCAAACGCACTGCCTTACACTACGCCATCTCGCTCAAACGTTTGGATTTATACGAACTTCTACTAAAGTAAGTATTGTGTGGCTGTAAAAAAATATGTTAGTTACTGTCTTGATGAAATCAGAAATAACTTAAATTTACTTTCAACATAATTCTGTTAATTAAGACCTCAGGTTAACTTTTTCCATTTTATTGCCATTTATAGTACAATGTAAATATAAACAAAGGAGAGAAGCGACTCCTGAATTCAACCTTCCAGTTGCTTCCTTTTTTGTTTATTTGCTTTGCTTCACCATTAGAGAGCTTCTGTAACCTCTAGGTAGCTAGTCCTCCTGAAACCTAGAAGATGGATGCAAACATTCCTCGACACTTATAATTACTGGACGTTGGTTCTTTACCCGTGCATTAAATGTCCAGTGTGTTTAAAAAAGATAATGTGACGATGATTGCTAATAGATTTAACAAAAGACACCTAAGTAGTTTAATTGTTTGAAGTATTTTCAAAAACAATTAAGGTTTGTAAAATAATAGGCAATAATAACTTTCATTCAACTTTTCTTGTGAAAAGCATACAAGGTATGCAGTGAGGATCTATAGACATGTACACTTATGGGGCTGATCTGCAATACTTTACATCATGTAACATGTATTTACTTAATTCATCCTAGAACAGTTAAGAGAAATTTGTCCATCTTGCAGTTTCGTTGAAAATTTATTTCTATATGATATTTAATGTGATATACCTACATGTTGTAAACCTTTATAATATTAAAAACCCAAATAATGTAAATATTGACTGGATATAGAATTTCTATTTCTAGCCCAAGTTTGACTACCAATATATCCCTATCAATTTCAAACCTGATGGTGAAATGAGGAGGTCATATGCTGACAGTCAAATGTGTTCATATACCGGGGTAACCCCATTAAATGTGTGCTGATATACTGGGGTAACCCCATTAAATGTGTGCTGAAAAATTGATAGTTTTCTTATTGATCGGGATCTTTTTTAAAATATTAATTATATATACATACAGTATATATTAGTTACTTTCTTGTACATGGTATAAAATGGTACAACAGGGTTATGAATGTTATTTTCCAAATAAAGGAAACAAAATATCTGCAAATAGCGTTGAATTGGATCTTTTCAATCATCCCTTTTAAAATAAATGTGTTATTTTATGGCCATGTTATTGTATCTGGTAACAGAATGCTCAAACAAAATTTGTTTTGTTATCTGAAATGGAATTTCATGAGAAGAAAAAGCATTTAAAAAAATGAAAACCGTTCAAGATTTTGATAATGAAGTGACATTTATCAATACAGCTTCTGACATATACAGCAGTAATCAATGAAATAAAATACCATACTAATATTCAGTGATGCTCATCACTGATGAAATAATAATTGTTTAGAAATTGAGCCATTGCAGTACTCAATAAGATGCATTCATTGAAAGTATTTTCAATGTGAATTGTTTGACATTTTTGCAGTGTACTTAGCTTAAAGAACCCTGTACCACGGCCAAAAACTGTAATTAAGTATTGGAAACTTTCCGGCATGACTATAGCTTTGATTAATCATTCTTAATAGAAAATCATACCTTGTGGGAATTTTATGAGAAATTATGGATATGAAATCAACAAAATATAAATCAACACCAGTATTCTGAGCGTAAAAAATGAAATGAGCCAGACTGTGATTCAAAACAGATTGTTTTACTATCGCTCTAACTGATTGAGCTATCTGGGCAACGGAAGTGTTCTGGCCAAACAATACTACGGTTAAATACAAACGGAAGTTAAGGGGAGGTTTACGGCAGGACAAAATCACAGTGCAGTGGGACAGGGTTCCTTAAATAAAATAGTTTTCATCCTGATCAATAATTATGTCAACAACTCTATGTTTCCAAAAGGTAACACAACTATCGCAAGAAGTGTAATTATGTTTAGGATTGAATTGATTTAAGGATTAAATGTGACATACACATACACTATTTCCTCAATTGTCCTGATTGCAGTGCTGTCCTGATTGCAGTTCATATAGTATAGCCATAATAAATAGTCCAAGATCATGTTTTATTCATACACATACACCTACCAGTGAGCGACCATGACTGGTGATTCAGTGTAAATGTATTCCCAGCCTTTCTATCTAACCTAATGAGAAACACAATACCTGAATTAAATCAATATGACAGAAACACCTCTACACAGTACATAGATGATACTGAAATTGGCACATTGTTGACCAGCAATCCTATCACTGCCAGGCAATCCTATCACTGCCAGGCAATGCTTTTATCAATTGTTTACTATCCTGATTGACAATTAACATGTATTCAAATATACCAGTGTGTATAGGTGAAAAGTTTTTCATAGAATTTTTTCAGATTAAGCCATTCGAGAATAAAATGTTTGACCATCATGATTACAGAATTCTTGATGTTGATACTATATATTTTACTGGATATATAATTAGATATACAAAATATTTTCCCTTTTTGATATGAATATGATTTATTACTTGTCTTGACGATCATGTAATATATTTGATTTCCCAAGATATAATCCTAGTTACATGTGTAATGTCCCGCTGGTACAGCTGATGGCGACACAAAACGTGCTAGGCTGTGTATAGGGCATTGATTGGCCAGTGGTACTCGGGAGCTTTGTTTACTGTTTCCAAGGCAGTGACACAACATCAAGCCTATTTACCATTAAATGAACACCCATTCTGAGGACTCCACTGCTGATATAGCAGGCTCTCTGTCACCAGGAAACTTCTATGCTCAGGAAAAAACCCATTTTCTTCTGTATACAGAACGTTGACATCTTCATGGAAAATGAATATGATAGAATAGTTATGGTCATACAAGTGTAAACGTTATAAACTTCCAACATTATTTTTCAACCTTGCAATCAAATGTATTTAAATAAAATTCTGAAATTGGTTTTAATTGAGCACATAGTAAACTGATGAAATTGTATTTAATATGATTGGAAAATATTTTTAAGATTTAATTATCATCACTTTTGGAAAAATGTCAATTGAAAAAAAGGATTGGGTTTGAGCATGAGTAATATTTTTATTTCATTCTTTTTTTGTTTTGAATGAAAAGACATATTGTTCTACTCTGTGTGTGTATGTTTTTGTCAGGCAATATACATATTTTAGGTGTCCAGTGCTGTGATTTGGAACTATAGAAGTGGTATATTACAGGGAAGTGTACACACTGTGTGCGTTTCGGTGAAGTAGGGATAACTGTATTAAAGAGATCACTAGAAGAGTTGTAGAAATGATACAGTATACCACTTGTTCCTCGGGTTCCTTATGTAACGCAAACATGCTGATACCTGCTATATACCAGGCTGTAGGTAAATCTTTGTGTGAAAAAACTGAGAACTAGGAGGTATCATATATCAAACCTGCGATACCAGTGTGATTTATACCACACTTGTAATAGAAAATGACCAGGTAGAAAGGTGGTACATTTCTCGTTAAGGGCAGTTTGTACCTGGACAGACATCAAAACACACCTAAAATTTACCTTTAAATATCTCAATAAATTTTATGCACTTTTTATGGGGTTTTTTCTTGCATGGAACACACACCCTTTGTTGTCGGATATTTTTTGTACTCTTGCTGTTTTTATATAGACCCTATGTGGTGATATTCCAACTACCTGGTTCATGTACCCGGTACAGTATTATAGTGGGGGGGGGGGGACTATACATGTCTACAGTTCCCACTCCTTAACAAAAGGCTATCAAAGACACCGCTAAACTTCTAATTCTCATGAATCGAAATTTAAAAAGTAAATATTAAATATATTGATATTTATATACTTATCAGAGAAGTCCTCCTAAATTTTTAGACTTTGTTCCTAATATGAGTTATTTATTTTGTAATACAATGTACATAGTCCTTCATTTTGGCCCATCTTTTTCCCTCTTTTTACCTAATCTCTTGTAGTTAATTTCTTGACCTAGATTGTCCTTCTCTGACCTAATATTAGTCCCCTATGGTCCTTTCCTTTTCACTATAGGCCGCTCTTAAGTCTTGAGTCCTTGGTTTTGTTTATATAGTGTGTAGTCCTTTGTGGCCCATTTCTTGCCACTAGTTCCTATAATTTCCTGTCTGTACATGTAGTCCCCAATGTGGTCATTACCTAGTCCATAGTCCTTTACTACTTTTCCTTGTCACTGGACCCTGATGACCCTTTTTGAAGTGATTTCTCTGGTAATTTTCCATTTGAGTCAATATTTCTTGTTGATCCTTTCTATTGCTAATTCCCTTGTGGTACATTTTTACCCCCAACTAGGGTCTTTAAGTATTTTCCTAGACCCTATTCTCTTTTGGTCTTTTCATACTATCTTTTTGTCATTTCCTTATTGTCTCTTGCGGTCCTTTCAGTTTCCTCGTCCATTGTGTGTGTTTCTTCGTCCTGTGAAGTCCTTACCAGCTAGCTGGCCCTAGACATTATTGTCCTTTCTTAGACCATGGCCATTTCCTAGTTCATCGTAGTCTTTACTTGTGCCTTTGTATTCCTTTCCTAGACCATTGTATTCCCTTCCTAGTTCATCGTAGACTTTACTTGTCCCTTTGTATTCCTTTCCTAGACCATTGTGTGCTTTTCCTAGACCATTGTATTCCCTTCCTAGTTCATCGTAGACTTTACTTGTCCCTTTGTTAAAAAAGTATAAAATAACTTTACTATGGATTCCGAGCCATGTCGGAATAAAAGGCAACAAATTTGCTGACAGGGAAGCAAAAAATGCATTGAATCTCGAACAAACAAATATCAAACTACCATACACAGATTTTAAACCTACTATTCGTACAGCCATTCAAAATGAATGGCAGAAACGCTGGTCTCTGGAGACCAACAACAAACTTTTTAAGATACAACCGAAACTTAAAACATCTATTCCCAGTCGGAAAGATCGTAGAGAGGAAGTTGTCCTCGCTCGGCTCCGCACTGGGCACACATATCCTACTCATTCGTACCTTTTAAAACGAGAAGATATACCTTCATGCCACGCATGTGACACTCCATTTACAGT